CCCCCCCCCCAGGCGACGTCTTCGAGCGTCGGGTCCCCACCATCCCGTCCCCGTCGCCTCCCGGTACCGCCGAAGGATCTGGTCCGGCTGCGGCAGACCGTGCGTGCGGCCCGGCAGGAACCCCGACGAGTCGTAGGTCGACGCACCGGGGTACCTGGCCGTGTAGAGGTCTGTCATGAGGTTGCACAGGTCCGATAGTGGGCGACCGACGGTGGAGATTTCCCAGCTTTGTATGTTTTTTTTTCTGGTTTTCTTCTTCTTTTTCTTTTCTCGTCAGATATTATCCCCAACATACCTGATCTGGGGGAGGGGGGGAACGATATTGGACAGGAAAGAAGAACAAGAAGATAGAATACAAAGCAGAGGGACAACAACATCAACAACAAGAAAAAGAAAGAAGAAAGAAGAAAAAAGAGAGATGAAGCAAGCGGGCAGGGGGAGGGTGAGGGGAGGAGAAGACATGCTCTAGGATACCAGTGACCCTCGCCTCCGTCTTATGCAACACGACATCATCAACCTTGTAATCCCCATGGACGAGACGAGACCGATCGGCCGGCTGGCGGGCCTCGTCGCCAAAGAAGCGCACCGTCGTCTCGTCGAGACGCGGCAGCTGCCCCACCGCCTCGCCGGTGTCGACGTCCAACGACCTCGGCCTGCCCGGTGGCTTCCTGCGCATCACGAACCGCCCCCCCCCCCCCCCCGTCGAGTCTGTCATCTGGTATGCTGGGTTGGATTGGCCGAAGCCGAAACTGCGGGACCGTGACGGTCAAAAAAACAAAACAAAAAAACAAAAAAAAAGTCGATTATCGGGCTTCGACGCAAGAGGGGATGACCCTTACCAGCCTCGGCTCAAACCGGAGTCTTGATCTCGGGAGCATCCTCTTGGAGAGAGATGCGGCTCCGATGCAGCCTCGTCGACGGGTCGACGCACCCTTCCTGCCATGATCCCTAGCACGTACGTATCCTGTCCATGTGTCTATCTGTCTGCGTGTGACGAGGTGGCGTGAGCTGTTGAAGCTTTCGGCAGACGACTCGACGTCGTCGTGCCTGGTCCGATCTCTTGAAACATCCCCCCATGTAAACCCTCCGTCCCTCTTCTCCAGACACGTCACGATTCTGCTCCCGTTCCCGTGGTACGGACATCGGTCCCGAGGTTCCAGCCGCGGTTCCGGCTGCGGGCGGCGGGTCAGCACATCCGCGGGATGCTCCGTCATCCAACCCCGGCTTCCTTTCCCCGCATCCCCACATACCTGTCTGCTGCCGTATCGATCTGTACAGGCTACTCTCCCTAGACGGTCGTCACCTCGCTCGTCCCCGTCCAGGACAGAGGCTTCTAGGCCGGGCCAGGAAGGACAGAGGATAGATATCCTTGGGCTTGGCTGCGGTTGCGGTTGGTATATATGTATATATACTACATACTAATAATATATAATAGCATTCATTTCCCCTTCATTGACGCTTCGTAAATCACCCATCGACCCACATAATAAAGGGACCTTCTCTGCATGATGTATCCTGATGCAAGTCATGGTTCGTGGATCTCCAGCTGTTGGTTCGCATACATTCTGTAGTCCTTCTTTCCATCAGTAATTCGTCGTGTGCCGTATGAGCATCTTGGTGCCTCTTCTGACATGTTTTTTTTTTTAATATCTTTCCGGTTTTATCTTCGCGCGCGCATCGAAACAAACAAGGGGAGGGGGAGGGGTGGGGTGGGCAAGAAAACTGAATTGCCCGCACTGTTGCCAGTCCAAATGCTGTATTAAAAAGCAAGCAAGAAAGAAAAGTTCATCAATACCAAACGGGGAATCAAAAAAAAAAAAAAAAAAAAAAAA